CAGGCCTGGTGCATGCTGGGCAAGTACTCTACACTATGCTCTTCTCCAGACTTTCCTGAGGGGCTCAAGTTGCATTTACTGTCTCTTTAAGGCACTGACCAGGTCCTACCTTCCCTTTTCTGTCTCTTCCTCCTCTTAGAACATCATTTCTAAAGAGTGTAAGTCAGCTTCTGCTCCCCCCCCCTTTTTTTTGAGACAGGATTTCTCTGTGTAACAGTCCTGCGTGCCCTGGAACTCACTTTTGTGGATCAGGCTGGCCTCAGAGTCACTGAGATCCACCTGCCTCTGCCTCTCAAGTGCAGGGATTAAAGGTGTGTGCCACCACTGCCTGGTGTTTCTGCCCCTTCTTTTTGGGCCCAAAATACTCTCATTTGTATCTGTTTGTTGTAATTTAGAAAAGCGTTTCAGAGAGAAAGCCACCATGCAGCAGAATTCAAGCAGAGTTTTTTTTTTTTTTAATTAGGGGGAAAGGATCGTAAAAAGGGGGAAAGGAAGGAGGGAGACTGGCCTCCAGTGACAGAAGCATCAGGAGGAGAGAAGACAGGAGAGAGAAGAACAGACAGATAGGAAGAGACAGAGGGATGGGAGGTGGGCAGGACCCTTTTAAAAGGGAGCACAGTGAATAGGCACAGGTGGTGCTCTTAGTGGCTGCAGCTGAAGGCATATCCTGTAAGGACCCCATGGGCAGCCAGTACAGATGCTTGAATACTAACACTGTTTCTTCATGCAAGACACAGTGAAATGTTTTTGGCAGGGTATTATGACAGATGGTGCTCCAGTGCCACATTTATAAATGCACTTTAGTCTCTTTTAAATGTATAAAGTTCGTAATCAAACATTCTAATATTCCTTTTCCCCTCCATCTACCCAGCAGGCCAACTGCTGTCAGGTGACTTCTGCCATCATGCCATGATGGAGGCGGTCGGCTATTTGTATAGGTCACTTGATTTAAGAGCAACTCACCTGGGGTCTTCCCATGCTTCAATCCAGGGAATACTGCAGTGAGTTTCTATTGCATGTCTCAAAAAGAAGTAGACTTTCTGATGATTTGTTACTACACAGCCATTTGACACATTTTGATCTTTTGCAGCCTTCTAAGGGAAATCCAGAGGTTCCGGGGCAGGAGGTGTTGGCCTCAAGGCATGAGCCAGCTATACAATGAAGGATGTAGGAATGGCTCTTTATTATGGGAAAACTTGTCTAAATTAAACTTCCGAAGCGCTCAGAGCTCTGACACCGTGGGCACTGCAATGTGCATGAACATAACGAAGTTGCAGAGAGCTAAAAGCACAGAGCTCACACCTCCGGTACCAGATAAACCGAAACATGCTCCTGGCAAAGGAAGGAAGACCCTGACTCCGATTCTGTGCCTGTCAGCGGGGGAAAAGACCCAGCAGAAGGCACAAAGTACTCACATATGGAATGGCCCAAGAAAGCAAATTCCAAGGAAAAACATGTTATCTCTGGGTGAAAAGAGTGGCTTAGTTAGACTTTCAAGGCAAAGGATTTTTTCTGCTAAAAGTGAGAGTGGAGATGGCCTAGTCACTGCGATTTACAGTCACCCCCTTCGACCACCTCTTAGTGTAAATAACCCCTGGGAATCCATATCTGAGCTTGTATCAGAAAAATGGCTATTTCACAACCCTCAGTACAGCTTCACTCAGAAGCCTGCTTTCCTAAGAAGATCCCAAATAGAAACAAAATTGTTGAAGATCTCAAGTGACACAGATAAAGAATAAAAACCATTTTGGGCTCTTTTGTACGTAAGTTTTTCTCATATCTTTTTGAAGTTTTACATGTGTGTTTGTGATACACGCGTGTATATGTTTGTGTGGAGGTCAGATGTCAACATCTATGTCTTTCTCAATCACTTTCTCCTTATTTTTTTGACACATGGTCTCAATGAACCTAGAGCTCACAGATTCTACTAGATTGGCTGGCCAGTGAGCTCTGGGGGTCCTCCTGTCTCCACTTTCCCTGTCATGAGGTCACAGGCACAGGCTGTCACCCCTGGCTTTTTATGGTGGTGCTGGAGCTCAAACTCAGGTCCTGGTGAGTCTGACAAGCTCTAACTCAGGTCCTGGTGTGTGCACAACAAGCTCTTTTCATACTAAGCATTCTTCCCTAGCATCTACTTTGGATTTTTAATTGGATATTTTCTTTTAAACACTTAGGAGTGGTCTTTATCCAGGTTTGGGGATTCAGTTTCCTTAGTCCCTTATACTGTTGTGTCTGATTTTGGTTAAAAAGAGCAGGTTTTAAGTGATCTACATTTCTATGGGAAGTAGAACAATCTTGATTCCATAGAGTCCTATATTATATATATGCGAACTTACCATTTTTAACTTTACTTGTGCATTTTTATAGTTTATCTATTTTGAATTAAAACTTCTTCTAAGCAAAATTGATGATTGTTAACACCAAAACTTTTTATTAATACATTAAGAAAAAATAGGAATTGAAGCTTTCAAGTCATACAGTAAGCTTTAAGTATCAGAGCCCATGGATTTGATACTATATCTATTTGAACATTTTATTACCCTCCATTTTATCAGTGATTCATAAACAACTTATAATAGTTAAGGATTACTTTCTAGCTACCCTCATCCTTATCACACAGCAAAATTATTCTTAGGAAACTCACAGAAGCGGAGGCTTGGCTGTGTGATTTTAGGCACACAATTTTACCTCTGTTGTGCCTCAGTTTCGTTATATATAAATGAGAGACATGGTGTTGAAAGACCCCTACCCAGGACCCCCTAGGAAAAGAAAAGCAAGGCCAGGCCATTGCCTAATGAAAGAAACCCAGACCAGGTGCCTCGCCCAGCTGGCAGGATGTCAAACAGGATCTGTGATCACCAGAGCAGGCATGGGACCCGGATAATAATTGCTGAAGCGTGCCAGGGTCTTTTATGTGGCAATACCAGGACACCTAGTCCTTGGCAACTACCCTTGCCCCCAGTTGTGTCTATGATTACCATAGTAGTCATGGGACCCAGATAATAATTGCTGAAGTGTGCCGGGGTCTTTCATAAAGTAATACCAGGAAACTTAGTCCGTGGGAACTACCCCTGCCCCCAAGATGAGCCAATGAAATGCCTGTTACTTATGTAACCATTAAAACTCTATAAATATTGCACTCCCTGCAAGCCCGGGATGCTCTGCACCCGAGTTGCAGTTGCATCCGCAGGCGCCTATGTACTCAATAAATCACCTCTTGCATTTGCAGCCAGTGGTCTGGCCCCGGTTCTTGGGCAGAGGGTTCCGTTCAGTGCCCGGCGCTTTGATGCCGAGGTCTTTCAGTGCTTACTGTTCAAGACAGTTGAGAAAATGAGATAAAACACACTGGAAGCCTTCCACGGATGGTTTTTATGATTAGTCGGGAACTAGCTTAGGTGTCAAATTCTTCCAGGAAACATCTCACTATTGCAGCTCACAGTTTAAGAGTCACGATTGTGCCCCAACTATTTCACATATTCCGGCTGTTCTCCCTAATTTACCTCCTACTCAGTGGTCACCATGGGGTAGTTTGGAAATTCCTGGGGCCCAGCGCTTCTCAGGCAGGTCTGGGGCAGCTGCTGTTTATTGGCTGTTATGCTACGAAGCACGGAACGAGTGCAGTTACACAGGTGAGCTGAGCAGGAGCCTGGCCACAGTCCAGAGGACCTCTCTGGAGGCACCGAAAAGAAAAATTTCACCCAAAGGGAACTGAATGTGCTTCATACTTACTAGAATCTTCAGGGGCGGGTTCTTGCAGACGGTTTTAGACCATGCAGGTTTGGATGGGCTTCAGGACCGTCTCAGGCAGGCACCTGTGACCCAGGAGATACCTGCGGAAGCCACGGAGTGAGGTCACCTTCCGGAGGCTGGGACTGAAAGACCCCGGCCCAGCACAGACGGCTGAGGCCTATGGAAAATTCCTTTCCCCCACAGCTCAGCCGAATAGTCATTTTTTTGATCAGAAGGGAGCTCAGCTCAAGGTCTTTACAGCTGAATAGTCACTACTATCTCTGTCCAGGCAGGACACAGGTGTCTGCTATCTGCATAGCGTCTGCATAGCCAGCCCAGCAAGATTGGGCAGGCACAGAGACCTATTGTTCCTCAGATAGGGCCAAGGCCGAGACTTGAGTTCTGAGAGAAACCTCAATAGCCCTCATTCTGAGCCCCGGCCTCATTTATATTGTCCAATCAGGGTCCTGTAACTAGGCTTCTTGCTTCTGTACTCCGCTTTTTGCTATAAAAGGACCCCTGAGTCCCCAGCTCGGGGCGCTCAGCCCCCCCAAGACTGAGACGCCCGGGTACCCGTGTGTAAATAAAGCCTCTTGCTGTTGCATCCAAGCTCGTGGTTTCGTTGCTCCTTGGGTTTGGGTCTCCCTCCCGTGAAAGTCCCCCGTTTGGGGTCTTTCAGGACCAGGGCAGCGGAGCATAGTGAGAATGCCATCAGTGCAACCATAAGCGAGGGCCGCCACCGAAAGCAAGGGGAAGGTGGCGCGGAGTCCTGCGGGCGGCGGCAGGGTCGGAACGAATCATCCATTCCATGTGGCCTCAAGTAGCACTGGCCGGCCACCCCCACGCCTCGCGGGGTCAGGAAGTGACCGCAGCAGACCGGGCACAGAGCCCCACCTCGTTTCTCCAAGGCTTCGCCCCTGACTCCGCCTCTGACTCCACCCCACCCCATTTCCCCAGGCCCACCCCTGACCGGGCCTCTGACCAGCCCAGACGTCCGTCCCCCCGCCCCGCTCTGTCTCCCCAGGCCCTGTCCCCGTCTCTGCCTCTGACTCAATCAAGGACGGTCCCACTCAGTTCCTATTGACCTGGTTCCTCACTCAGCCCAGCCGGGCCGGCCCCTGACCCAGCCTAGGCCCCGCCCACCCGCCGCTCCAAGCCCAGCCCCTTACCGCGCCTCCCACCTCCGTCTAGACCCCGCCCGCGTCTCCAGGCCCCGCCCAGACCCCGCCCCCCGAGGCTGGCTCCGGGGCCGCGCCACCACTCGCTCAGACGCAGGAACCGCGGGCTCGCGTCCCGGAGCCTCCCGGCGCTGGCCGTCCGCGCCTCGGGCAGCTCGGAGGCGGCATGGCCACGGTGGCCGCGGCGGCCCGCGGGGCCGGGGCGAGGGCGGCGGCGGGGCTGCGGGGCGGTGGCGGGGCTGCGGTTCGGGGACGGCCGCGCGCCGGCTGCGCTCGGCCCCTGTGCACCGCCCCGGCCGCCGTGGACATGAAGCGCTACCTGTGGGCGCGCTACCACGAGGCGAAGAGGAGCACGGACGGTGAGTGCGCGCCCCAGCCTGCGCCGCCCACTCGGGGACCCTCGGGCCCCCGCACCCTACCTCGGCGTGCGGCTCCCGCGGAGAAGGCGAGTCCAAAACTTCGCAACTCTAGCTTCGCTTCCCCCTGCCGGGGAAGCAGTTTCGTACCTGGGGATTGTTCAGCCAGGAGCGCGCATCGGAAGTGCTCTGGGCCGCCGCGAGGGTTCCCAGGGCGCCGGTCGGAAGACGTTCCCCCAAACACCGTTAGGTGTTGTCATCCACCCTGGCAATGCCGGTGGCAGCCCAGCCAGCTGCCGCGCCGTCCTAGACAGGCTCCGGCGCAGGCTGCTGGGTCAGGAGGCTGAGCCGGTTTCCTTTGTGCAGGTTGGAGTAGGGTGGAATGTTCTGTTCTAAGTGGGCGTGGGGGTCTGGTTATCCACCGCCCCCTGCGAGGGGGAGAGGAGTACTTGTAGTCTAGAGAAAAGAATGAGCTCGGCGCGGGCAGGAATGGAGAGAGAAACCAGACTGTTACTAGTGTCAGGCATTGATATTGTCCCTGAATCTCCCATAGCCCCCCGGGGAGGGGATCGTGCCCATTATGTAGACGGCAAAGGCGAGACTCCAGTGCAAGGAAGGGGCCTGACCAAAGCCTGGTTTTGGACCAGGCTACCATTGTCCCGTCTGTTGCTTTGCGCTTCTTCCCAGCTGCGGGCCATCTGGAACCTGGAGTAAACGGGCAGTGAGCCGTAGACACCGAAGCTATCAGAGGAGACTCGGGATTTAATAGTGATTTTTTTGGGGGGAGGCGGTTGGCAAGGATAGCACGGGGGGTGTTGGTGAGGATACTGTTTGTAGGGTTCTAAAGATTCGTTTACATCTTTTGGCCAGAGGTTAGTTCAAGAGAAACAAAACCCACTTGTAATAATTTCCACAGCACATTTGGAGTGGTCAGCGATGTAGACTTCTATGGAACAGGGACTTACTGGTTTTGGTTTTCCTTCGCCAAGAGTTGGGGTTCGAAGCTGTTTTGTGGTGTGGTAGAAAGAAGAACTGCTTTGAAGAGGTTAGGATTTACAGATCCTAGAGATAGAAGAAATAGAGAAGATTATTTAGGTCAACGTTTTTGTCTAGGCACATTCTTTGAGATGAGTCGTGTAGCCCAGGCTGCCTTAAGTCACTGGTCTCCTTCATTACCTTCTGGTGGGAACCACCATTCCTGGCCCGTTTGCTCCTTTCTCCCGTCTCCCGCCCTTCGTTTCTCCTCTTTTTGGATGCTCAGCAGATGGTAGCCTCTGCAGGGAGTGGAGAAAGTGATTTAGTACCACTCCTTCCCCATCCCCCACTTAAGGTAGTGCTATGGCCTTGAACAAGTTACCTAATCTCTCAGCTCTAGTTTCTCTTTGTAAAATGAAGACACCAGCTAAATAATGTCTTCAGTGTTACAGATGTGTAGGTACTTCAGGTACACGTGTGCGGGTCCCCCCTCTACAGGTACACGTGTGCGGGTCCCCTCACTACAGGTACATGTGTGCAGGTCCCCTCTCTACAGGTACAGGTGTGCAGGTCCCCTCTCTACAGGTACAGGTGTGCGGGTCCCCTCTCACCTTCTCTACCCTTCTCCAGTGGATGTCTGTGACCTCTCTGAGCACGTGTGAAGTACCCAGCAGCTGGTGTTGTAGGTGTTGATTCTCAGGTGAGTCTGGGCTGTGGGCTTCAGTGTATCACCTGCCTGCCTGTGCTGAGCTAGACCAGCCTTGAGGTGGAGTCTGGTGGGTGGGTGGGGGGTAAGTGACAGCCACTGACAGCAGGGCAGACTGGACTGACTGGGGATGCAGGAGTCCCTCCCCCTCCTCAGCTATCCCCTCAGGATATAGCAGTTTTGCTTTCCCACTTCCTGATTCTGACAAGAGAGTTTTATTCTCTGATCACTTGATCCCTTTCATTAATCCAAACAGCTTCTTCAGGTACAATCACTTCAAATGCCTGCCAGGCAGGGGCTGTGGCTTTAGGCTTTGTTTTAATGCATTCTTTCTTAGTCTTTTCGTTCCTTTGTAATTGAGATTTATTAAAAAAAACACAAAAAACATTTTCAGGTCAATTTTGAATGTATGGAGAACCCTGTAGTTTCTTTTTTAAAAAATTTTCCCTTTTAAATTTAAATTAGAAACAAGGTTGCTTCACATGTCAATCCCAGATCCCTCTCTTTTTCCCTCCCCTCCTTCCCTGCCCTCCCCCAACCCTCCCCAATACCATCCCCAGGGAGGGTGAGCCCCTCCATGGGGTTTGTCCGTAGTCTGTCATTTCATCCAGGGCAGGGCCTAGACTCTCCCCCAAGAGTCCAGGGTGAGAGTGCATCTCTCATTGTTGGATGGGCACCCAAAGTCCATTTGTATACCCGGGATAAATACTGATCTACTACCCAAGGCTCAATAGATTACCTAGGCCTCCTCACTGACACCCACATTCGGGGGTCTTGATCAGTCCCATGCTGGATTCCCAGCCATCAGTCTGGGATTCAAGAGCTAACCCTTGTCAGGTCATCTGTTTCTGGGGGTTAAACCAGCCCAGTCTTAACCCCTTTGGTCATCAGTCCTCCCTCTCTGTCACTGGATTCCTTGAGTTCAGCTCAGTGCTTAGCCGTGGGAGTCTGCCTCTGCCTCCATCAGCCATTGAATGAAGGTTCTGTTTCCCAGACTCTCTGGCCATGGGATTGTAGGCTGGCACTCTCCAGATCTATGTCTAAAATCCATATATGAGAGAGTACATGCCATGTTTCTCTTTTTGTGACTAGGTTACCTCACTCAGGATGGTTTCTTCTAGTGCCATCCATTTGCCTGCAAATTTCAGGATTCCATTGTTTTTTTCTGCTGAGTAGTACTCCATTGTGTAAATGTACCACATTTTCTCTATCCACTCTTCGGTTGAGGGGCGTCTAGGAAACCTGTAGTTTCTATAAAGCCTACTGCTATTTTCCATTCTGAGCCCCTTTCTTCCCTTCTCCTTCCTTTCTTTTTTCTATACCCAATGTCCCTTTTCTTTCCTAGGATCCTATCCAGGATTGCATACTACATTTAGTTGTTTCTTTAGGCTCTGTTGACTTACACAATTTACCAGGCTTTCTTGTTTTTCTGTGACAGTGACAGTTTTCAGGACTGGTCATATTCCAAAGCATCCCGTTGAATTTATTCCCAGTTTTTATTTTAGCTGGAGACTTTGAATCTGGTGTAGCTTTCTTTGTCCATTTGGGTACTGACCATCCTACCTCTGTACTGTTTTAGCATCCCATCTGGAAGTCAGCTCAAAAAATTCTTTGCATCTTTAGGACATGAAATGTCACATCGCAAACTCTGGCAAGGTTGTAGATGCTGGAGGGGAAATGGTCTTCAGCAGTACGCAGAGGGGCAGCTTTGCCCCTGGAGACACTTTGTTAAGTGTAGAGACCATTTTATTTCTCTCACTCTTTAAGTCTAGAGACCATTTTTATTTCTCTCACTCTTTGTTAAGTCTAGAGACCATTTTATTTCTCTCACTCTTTGTTAAGTCTAGAGACCATTTTATTTCTCTCACTCTTTGTTAAGTCTAGAGACCATTTTATTTCTCTCACTCTTTGTTAAGTCTAGAGACCATTTTATTTCTCTCACTGGGGTAGGGGCAGTGCTGCTGGCCTGTAGTGGGCCCAGACCAGTACAGTATTTTCATAGTAAAGAGCTATATGGCTTCTTAAAGAGTTACTTGGGGAACTGGGCTGGTTGGCATACGCCCCTTGGCAAGGCCCTAGTGGAAGAAGAAAAGCTGGCAGCAAAGCTGGGGGTTACTGTGCAGTGTTAGAAGCTTTATTCAGAGACTCGGAAAGCTGTACTCACAGTTCTGGGGTGAAAGAATTGATAATCCATCAGAAATTAGGTATTTGTGGGGACTGGGGAGGCAGTCCAGTTGAGAGCTTCTTGCAAGCATGGGGACCTGAGTTCTGATCCTCAGAACCCACAAAAGCTGGGCATCGTGATTCTGCCAGCTAGTAGGAGAGGCAGACAGGAGGGTGCCAGGGCTTGTTGACCAGACAGGTGTGCTAAAAAGAAACCAAACAAACAAAAAACAAAAGCCCCAGAGAGCTCCAGGTTCAGTGAGACACCCTGTGCGAAGGCAGTAAGGCAGAGTGATAGAGCAGAGCACGTGACATCCTCCTCAGACCTCTGCACATGTGCACATGGGTCACACACCCACACACATGCACACAGACATATGCCATACACACATGCATGTGCACACACAATTTAGGTACTTAGAAGGGACTATTGATGCAAGCAGAACACACAAAATAAACATAAGACACAAAGATAATCCTCACCATATATAAGGTGCTACACAGTAATGGCACACATACATTCCTCAAGGAGGTTAAAGAGATGCTCTTGGATAATTTACAAGACTAACATCTTGTTAATTTAGACTAACGTCCTTTGAGGGATACAGCTGTTGAAATGGAGAGAAAAAAATATACACACAAAATATTTTACAGCTGGTCTTTTCAGTACTGGCTTTAGAAGCATACTGCCTTTTTTAAAAAGGCATGAGTTTCCAAGAAAAAGAATGTCGATATTTTGCTTCCTAAATAAATTGGATCTTGAAGCTCCATTTTTGCATTCATAGCTCTATTTTGAGGGTTCTGCACTTCGAATTTCCAATAATTTGTTTATTAAGAATGCATGTTACCAATATTGGATGATGCTCCATTGTCCAACGCAGATAGGAATTGCAGACTATGGAGTCAGGAGCACTCTGTCGTTAAATAAATAGGCATATTTGCCCTATTAAATTACACTTGGCAATTGTACATGTACAGGCCATTTTGTGTGTGAGCTCATTGGTTTCCTGGATCATCTCACCCTACGTCCCAATGCTGGTTTGGTTTTGTGCTATTCTGAACATGTAAAAGGACTCGCACCATGGATGAGAGCTGCTGGCAGAGACTGTTAGCTAGATTGAGTTTATACCAAGCTGAGCTGTGGTTGTTGGATCCCACC